GTTTATTGTAAATTATGCGTCATTAATGACCGTAAAGCTGTGTAGAAGTAACAACGTTTGTGACGTAACGGGTTGTGGTGGTGACCACGTGCTGGATAAGTTCCTGCGTAGTCCAAACCGGTAGGGTCGTTATCTGGAATAAATAGTGGTTATTAGTGGACAAGATTCATCTGCTATTGGTCATGAAGCGAATGCCTGTTCTAAGAAGTTTGCGTACTAGTTTTCCTTTAACTCCTAGTCTAAAGTCTTACTTTTCGTAAAGACAAGTTACCTGGTAATCAGTAGAGACGTGATAGATGCTCTGCCAGAATTTAACGGTCTCGGTGGTGGTAACAAAGCTGGTGTAGACGGAGACGAAGGTGCGGGAGGGATTCACGAATTCCTCGGCGGTTTTAACGAAGACCTGGAACGAGAGATTTATCAGTCTTCCATTTGTTTATTAATAAAAGCACCAGGGCCACCAAGCTGGTAATAAACCACTATTCCCAAAGCACATGCAACATACAAATGAAGCCCTTACCGGTGTGGTGGTTACCCTGAGCACCGAGGTCACCGTCCTGGGCACCTCGGGCACGAAGTCGCGCTCCGTCGTGTAAATCGTCACGGGGAGTTCCACAAAGGTGCTCTCCGTCACCCAGATGTCGCTCGTCGTCGTCACGCGGAACGTGTGGGTCACCGTCTCCTGCGAGAACGGGGGTGTTAGTGTCAGTTCTCTAGAACTATACGAGTCCTACAACCCTCCCGAAGCCCCCTTTCTTACCGTCCTCGTCACGGTCTCCGTCACGGCACGATTAATCCGCGGCTCTGGGATTCTGGCGTGGCTTTCGTACTGTGCAGAGGCACCCAGCACCTGCAGATTTAAAGATTACAATCAAGTGAACAATTAGCTCATGGATGCCAATACAATGCAGTTCTAGAAAATACAAGGCATACATACCAGGCCTAATGCAAGGACAAACGACGCAATCATAGTTGCCATCTGAAAAAAAAAAATAAATAAATAAATAAAGGGAAGATTTACAATATCTATGACACTTATAACTTAGCACTTATAATAGCACACACCCAAAACTAGAAAACAAAAGGTTACTTCTTCTATTGACTCAGACGGTTCTTCCTACCACCACAAAACACGGAGACTGAGTGGTCTCCTAATTCTCAGGGTTACAGTGTCGTCTTCTGGCGGGTAATAGACCTCCCGCTCATCCAATGGTCGTCGTTCGCATACTAATAACAATCTAACCATCAGTTACTTCCAAAAAGTGGTTTCTGGAGCATTAGATCATGGTTATATCCGTAACTAAATACGTAAACGACTGATTTTCTACTATACCGCTATACATCTATCTACACACACACACACATATATGTTTGTGTGTGTATCTCTATCTATCTATCTATCTGTATCTATATCTCATTCTTTCTGTGTGTGTGTGTGTGTGTGTGTGTGTGTGTGTGTGTGTGTGTGTGTGTGTGTGTGTGTGTGTGTGTGTGGGCGCGCGCGCGCGCGTGCGTGTGTGTATGTGTAAACTACAGATAGACAGATTGACGATATATACACAAAATTTATATATTCCAGCATTCTGACATTCACGCAAAAATCCATTTTTTATATTTTAACCGATGGCCGGCCATTACGGTGTTATGCAGTCTGCTATCATATCAATATATGCAACTGCTGATGCAATCATTTCAGTTGAATTGCTATTGAAATGTGTTACCAGAAATCCGGCAATATATGAGCATCAATTAAAGGAGGAATTATTGTGAAGGCCGGAATTATATATTCAATTTTAAATAAATCTGTTTTGTAAGAACAGAGTGAAACTGAGATTATGATTAGTATTACTGCTATTGTTATTATTTTTGTTATGATTATTATTAGTAGTGCAAATATTATCAACATTCCTATTATTATTATTGTCATTATATGTCATAATTAGAACCTTTACATTTATTGTTATCATTATTATCTTTATTATTATCATTATTATTATCATAATTTTGATTTTTTATCCTTTTTCACTTATCATTTTTATTACTATTTTTATTATTGTTATTACTATTTTTTTTATTAATTTATATGTCTTTTTACTGTTATTATAATCATTATTACACTCATTAGCATAATTATTAGTATTAAAATCAGTCTTAGTGTTTGCACTCTTGTTATAATTATTTTTGTTATTATCATCCTTGTTATCACTATTATCATTATTATAATCATTATTACTATTATCGGTACTAGTAATTGTAGTATTGTTATTATTATTATCATTATATAATCATATATAAGCATCATATATATATATATATATATATATATATATATGTGTGTGTGTGTGTGTGTGTGTGTGTGTGTGTGTGTGTGTGTGTGTGTGTGTGTGTGTGTGTGTGTGTGTGTGTGTGTGCATGTGTATGTTTGTGTGTATCCACAGGAACACTATTGCATAATTTACTACAATCATTAATACATAATCGGAATATAAATTTACTCTCT